CGTGACACGATTAACATTGAAACGAATGTGACGTCACATTCGTTGAAAAACAGTGAATGTCTTACTCGACTTTACTTTCACTTGGTACATTTCCTTGATCATTGATGTAGTATCTTTATTAGTATTTGTAGGGATTTTGTACTCCGTGTCCCCAGCGATTTTTCACACTAGCAAATTTACAGGAGAATCGTCCAGGTGTTTAGGAACCATGATTGTCGAGCATCGCAATGCGTTCGAAGAGCGCGGCCCAACACCATTCGATTAAATAATGAATCGTTGGCGAAAAACCGAATGAATGGATTAAATGGTGATACTGTCGCAACATGCATTTAACAACTTTTTGATTCTAAAATAGGAAAATGAGGTTTTAATTGATTTTTTTTTTTAATTAAGTGAGAAGTTGAACAGATTTTTAACGACGGGGTGCTGCTTTTTCCTGGCGATGAGGTCCGTCGCCGGCTGTCTTGTCCGCTTGACGCCGCCACCGCCGGTGCCTCCGTGGGCCGGTGTGTCGGGCCCGGCTGCAGCGCGCGGCGGCCCGCCGGCTCCGGCTGGAGTGGGGGTCCGCGCCGCTGAGCGCCGCTGGTGGGGGGCGCAAAGGTTACATCTGGTGGGCGGGGTGGGGCCCGGGGGCGCCCCGGTAAGGTGCATCGTGGGGCCTCTCATTTGACCGGTCGTCGCCGATCGCAGCGCGCGTGCCCCCCGCCCCGCGCGCGGAGAGTCGGTGCATGTGTTTGTGTGAGCGTGTGCGATTCTGTGTGTGTGTGACAGCACGTGTAGTGTGGTGCGCGCGCATTCGTTTGGTGGTTGTGTTGTTAGTGTGTGCCCGCCAGTGAGGAGTGCAGTGACAACAAGTGGTCAGTGACGTGCCGGTGACGTTCTAGTGACGGGCTGTGTATAGTGGTAGTGACATGGCGCACACCTGACAAGATCCTTCGTCGTGGTGGCCGCAGAGGTACTTCGCCTCGCCTGTATCTCCGTTCGGAATACCATTACCCGCACCGGCAGCCTTCCCTTGTCAAGGTACAGTCCAAGCAGTGTCGATTCTACAGCTCGGGAAACAAAAGTAACCTGTTGGATGTTGGCAGTGCATCAACGCATCGCTTCTTGGTGGCATGTTGGCAGCGCACGCCCAGGAAGACCTGGGCGTTGAAAAAGGGGCCCGGTGACTGCCCTGTTTATCGGTACATCCATAGGCATGCTGGTCACGGGCCCGGGGCCCCGGTCGGGGCGGGGCAGCGTCCGCTTGCAAATAAGTGTCACGGGACGTGACCTTTCAGCTGCATCCCAATCTGAATATGCACGCTGAGGCGTTTGTTTTTGTTTAAATGTCCCTTGATAACGAGTTTGCCCTCGCCGCTTAGTCCCCAGCTTTGTTGATCCGAGATACTGTGCTTGTGGTGTGTGCTTGCGGTTTGGTGGCCAGTAATGCTGATGATGCTTTGAAATTCTAAGGTTTTTTTTATTTGTTAAGTATCTAAGTTTAATGTTGAAGTTTAGAAGATTTTTACATTTTCGTAAAGAAAACTCCTTTGCATTGCAACCGATTGGAACTCTACATCCTTACTCAATCATTGACGTTCATTCAGATGATCTTTTAGTGTCACGGGGACTGGTGAAACCTAACACTAACGTGTTAAGCGAAACGCCTTGCGAATAATCTGTTAAACAAATGATTCCACCAACGTCTCGTGAACACAAAAGTTATGACGCTCCAGTCTGCGTGCGTATATGCAAGATCATCTCCAATGTTGCAGATCTCACCGCAACTTTTCAAAGTAGCGAACCAGCCTGCCCAGAGAGTCGAGAATGACCATTTTTCTTCCCCCGCCTCTCCTCGCTGCTCAGCCCCCCCCC